GCTGTGGGGGGGGGGGGGGGGGGGAGATAGCCCAACTGCAAGGGATAGTATAATTTTATCCAGAGCACTTCTTCCATTAATCTACAGATGGTCTATATGCAAATGTATCATCTTGAAGCCATATTGACAGGAGGGCAACTTCCAGTCCTCAACCCCTGGCGCTAACTTGCTGCAGCTTCTGATGCACAGTGTGAGAAGCTCCCAGTGTGCAGTGAAATCAGAGGAAGCCATTTCAGTCCAGGAGAGGAGCCGGTACAACTGAAGGGAAGGTCGGAGTTCTGCTTTAAGAACTACCTAATGGTCAGGTTCTCCTACAATAAAGACCTTTAGGCCCGGTTCACACCTGGGCGTGTTGTAGCGCGTTCCTACGCTCTGCAAAACGCTCAAACACCGAAATCCCATTATTTCCTATGGGTATGGTTCACACCTGGGGGCGTATTACAGGCCGTATGGACGCGCTACAAAGCGCCCTACGCCCAAAGAAGTACAGGAGCTTCTTTGGGGCGTTTTGGTCGCGCGTTTCCATTGGGATACAGCCAGGTAGCCCTCGGAAATGCGCGACACGAAACGCGCATATTCGATACGCCTAGGTGTAAACAGGGGCCTAATAAAATGCCGTCATCTTGACCTTCTGGTGGGGATGGGAAGGATCTGTAGTATTCAATTCTCAGGAGTTCCCCCAATACTGTAATATCAGCTGGACATACCTGCTTAACAGTGGCCACCATCCTGGCCATGAGCATGATGCTGGCGGTCTCCGGAGGGTAATGCATGTTTCTGGGGGGAAGAGATGGAATACGACATGTGAGAGGGTAGCACAGCCCGAGTCATGACAGCCAATAGAAGGACTCGGAGGAGAAATATCACAGAGAGCTTTTCATGTTGTAGCCTCAAGCCTAAAAGGGGCAACCCGTGGGTCCCTATAGGCGGCAACCCGTGGGTCCCTATAGGCGGCAACCCGTGGGTCCCTATAGGCGGCAACCCATGGGCCCCTATAGGCGGCAACCCACGGGCCCTACAGGCGGCAACCCAAGGGGCCCTACAGGCGGCAAACCAAGGGGCCCTACAGGCGGCAACCCAAGGGGCCCTACAGGCGGCAACCCAAGGGGCCCTATAGGCGGCAACCAATGGGTCCTATAGGCGGCAACCAATGGGTCCTATAGGCGGCAACCAATGGGTCCTATAGGCGGCAACCAATGGGTCCTATAGGCGGCAACCAATGGGTCCTATAGGCGGCAACCAATGGGTCCTATAGGCGGCAACCAATGGGTCCTATAAGCCTGCATTGCCATCATTTAGGAATCTGTACATTTCTTTTTCCCTTCCAATATGACATTTAACACATAAAACACTGTATGGAATAATATAAAGGGACTCTTATGTTGTGAAGTGCGACATCTGGTGCCCAAACCTCTCAGCTACACTCATAAGTCAGGCCACATACTGTATGGAAAGATGTGTAACAGCCGATCACAGAGCCAACTGCTCATCACTTTAGTATTTATAGATCCGCTCTAGAACAAAAAGTGGTTTACTGCGCGGTTACAGACAGTGGGTGGAGCCAATCGCTAATAAAGCCGACCTTTCCCCATATCTTTAGAAATGATTAGAAATGATTAGTAATGACAATCTGCACACACAGACTTCTAGACCAGTGGTTCTCAACCTGTGTAACCTCAGGACCCACATTTGTCCTCGGTCATTAAGTCGCGACCCAAATCGCACTGCAATGGAACGCACGGCATTAGGGTACCGCACGGTGGGTGGGAGGTGTTTTTGGGGTACCATTCAAATGAATGGCAACGCAACATAACGCCCACACCAAAATGCACGGTAGGTGTGATTGCATGGTACAGTGCGTTAATCACACAGGGCTGTGCTATTAATGCACTGTACTGGTGTCAGCAGGCCCTCAATCCCTAGTATCTGCTATTCTCATACTGATGCTTCAGATCATTGTTGCAAGTACATCATTGCTGCAAGTACACCACCATTTAGTAGCTGAAGGGGGGACGGATGGGGAAGGGGTTTATGTTGGTAAGGATGCAGGGTTTTTAAACTTGTTGCAATTACACCTCCATTTAGTGGCTGAAGGGGGAAGTTATGTTTGTGGGGAACCAAGGGATGTGGGGGTTTTCATACTTATTAAATGTAGAGCACCATCTAGTGGCTGAAGATGGGAAATTAATGTCAGTAGGGAACTCAGGGATGCTGCTTTTTAAAATAACCGTAAACTCAGGAGTTAGAGAACTATGAGGGGAGTGAAAATCACTCATCCTCATAATTTGAGCCGACGTGTGACAATGAGACTGTCACAGGTCGGCTCAGTAGATCGGGAAGTCAGCGAACACATACCGGCGCTCGCTTCTCGATCATCTCCCTGCAGAGAGCGGTGACTATCCAGGGAGCTTGGAACGGTGACTACTTTACAACACACACAGGGACCATGGGGAACAGACGTAGCCCCCCTCCAGAAGGAAGGACAGTGCCGGCACCAATTCAGAGATGATTGGAGGGTCTACAGCCGAGCGATACACAAATAAGATACATTTTTGTTCAGAGTTAAGGTACTTTAAAGGAGAACTATGGGGGTCAGGGCTTTTCCCCATAGTTCTCCTTAGGGTAACGGGAGGACACAAACAAGCGTCCTCCCGTTACCCTAAGCTCAGTATATAGGGAGCTACAGCTGGCGGTATACTGAGACGCCGCAGCGGATCCCGACATCGATGTCGAAATCCGCCCAGCTGCGTGAGTGACAGCTGGCTCTGCCTATCTAGAGGCAGAGCCAGCTGTACCCGCCCCCTCCCCCGTCCGTTCCGCCAGTCAGCGCTGGCGGATCGGGGAGGGGGGAATCCAGCCCATCCACTGTCATGGCAGAGAGCTGTGACAGGATCGAGAGGTGAGCGAACGCCGGTATGTGTTCTCTCACCTCCCGATCTACTGAGCCGACCTGTCACAGTCTCATTGTCACAGGTCGGCTAGAACTATGAGGTGAGTGAAAAGCACCCCCCTCATAGTTCTCCTTTAATGTATTTTAAGATTTAACTCCCGAGTTTAGTGTTACTTTAAAAAGAGGTTAGCCATAAAGTCACATGTCGGCTCAAGTTCTGTACTGTTGGGTTTGTTCACGGAAGCTCCTCTGTATGCCGAGGCCGATCCAGCAGGTGCAATAAGGTCCAGTATTGTTAATAATTGCGGTACTTGAATGTATTATTAAGGTTCAATGCCTGAGTTTACTGTCACTTTAATGTTTCCTTTGTGTTTTTTTTTTTTAAATAAGTGGATCACAAATTGTAATATAAAGGAGGAGGAGGAGGAGGAGTAGAGTCACATAGGAACACTACATGTAACATCTCTGAGTCTGTTGCAGCCGCACAACCAGCAGCATTTTCCCCACAGTGAGGATTTTCCTTCAACTGAAGTTGGAGATTTTTTAGGGGCCATTTTTAATTAAGAAGCGTTTCCTGAGATTTACCGTATTTGCCGGCGTATAAGACGGGATTTGAGACCCAAAAAAAAATCGCCCAAAAATCGGGGGCCGTCTTATACGCCAGGTATACTTCGGTATACTGTATGAAGCTTCGGCTACATACAGTATACCGCACTGAGCCAATCACGGCAGGCTTTGTATTCTTTAATACAAAGCCTGCCGTGATTGGCTCAGCGCGTTAGTAGCTGAAGGACGGAAGATGGAGGACGCTGCTGGGATCCTGGACAAGGTAAGAGACTGTAATCCCGAGTGTGGCTCGGGGTTACCGCTTATGGTACTGAAAATTAACCCCGAGCCACACTCGGGAATACCGCCAAGGAGGTTAGTAAGTGCATTTATACATTGTTTTGGGCTATACTCGTCTTATACGACGAGTATAGCCCAAAACCTATATTTTTACACAAAAAGTGGGGGGCCGTCTTATACGCCGGCAAATACGGTATTTAGAATGTTCCCTCCTTTTAGCTGCTACAGGACAGATCCCAGCACAGACAACCAGATCTTCTGCTTTCTATTCCACTTACCGCCAGGCTTCCTCCAGCTTGTTGAGTGGGTGGCTTTGGTTGTCCCGGGCAGATCCCAGACACAGGACCTTGTGATACTGTTCTTTGGCTGCCTTCAGACACTCCGCACTGCAGTATGAAACCTGTCCAACACAGAACATGATTATTACGAGGAGTCGCTGGGCCATCAATGGACAAGCCATCCATCTCTGCTGGGTCATGTTGGGCTCACTCATCTGAAAAGGACGCATGTTCCTGAACCTGCCGATCAAACGCCCCTCTCATCTGACGTCCATAGAGATCTCTCTTGTGTGCACGTTGAATCATTAATTCCCCCGGCAGAGCAAATCACATCAAAACCTTTTCACAATTTTTTATTATCCTGAATAAGTGCAGCCGGGTCTGTCCATCCTGCAAATAACATCTCAAAAATCCAGGTGGCCGACTCAAGAACTTTATGACTGTGGTCTGCACATACAATGGAAATAACCAGATCTGACTTGTGACCCATCACTCCCCTCTGCACCAGCACAGCCCTCAGTGGAGGAGATCTGGTCAAAGTAAACCTGTGCTTAATATTAAAAGGAGAACTATGGGGTCAGGGCTTTTCCCCATAGTTCTCCTAAGGGTCATGGGAGGACACAAACTAGCGTCCTCCCGTCACCCTAAGCTCAGTATACCGCGAGCTACAGCTCACGGTATACAGAGACCGCCGCAGCCTTGACGGATCCCGGCATTACAGTCGAGATCCACCCAGCTGTGTGATTGATAGCTGGCTCTGCCTATCTAGAGGCAGAGCCATCTGTACCCGCCCCCTCCCCTGTCCGTTCCGCCAGTCAGCGCTGACGGATCAGAGCGGGGAGTCCCTGCAGGGAGCCGTGAGTGACAGTCACAGCTCTCTGCAGGGACAGGATCGAGAGGTGAGCGAGCGACGTATGTGTTCCCTCACTTCCCGAGCTATTGAGCCGACCTGTGACAGTCTCATTGTCACATGTCGGCTCGATCTATGAGGATCACTCACCTCATAGTTCTCCTTTAAATTGTGGACATTTATTGCATTGGTGGGAAAACTCTGGCCCTCCAGCTGTGGTGAAACTACAAATCCCATGAGGCATTGCAAGACTGACAGCTACAGGCATGACTCCTGGAGGCAAATGCATGATCGGATTTGTCATTTCCCCAGAGGTGAAGGGCCGGAGTTTGGAGCGGTGAAGTGATCTGGTCTCATCACCCGCCCCTCCTCATCACTCGCCCATTCACAAAATGCCTTCAATTTTTCTCAAAGAACACAAGAAATGATTTTCTTTATTAAAGTATAGGGAGGCTAGAACCCCGTCCAATGATTAATGTGTGTCCCCGTGGCAAAGTTTCCTTCACTTACTGTCTGGTAAACATCCCTACTTAATCCAAGGGCACAGGGCGGCTCTGGGGAAGCCACAGGGCGGCTCTGGGGAAGCCACAGGGCGGCTCTGGGGAAGCCACAGGGCAGCGCTAGGAAGCCTTATAGAGTGTGAAGTCATACTATGGGGGCAGCAAATGTCATCCCCAGGGTGGTGAGAAGTGTGACCCGATTATAGAATGGCGGCTCATGGTGGTTCCCATCACCTCCTCGTACTTCTTACCTGGCAGTCCGGACACTGCTGGTGGAGCCCATTCTGAATGGAACACAGCTCGGGGTACGGGAGGCTCACGTGGACATTGCCGGACAGTCTCTTGGCGTTTTCTTCAGCCGTCTCCAGGGATCGCAGGCAATGGTCGCAGGCTGAAAGACAACCAGCAAAAGGAATAGCCGGGATGACTGTTTCGGTTTACAAATAATCGTACCAATGAGGGAGTGTCGGAATGGTGGACACCTATGTGGTCCTTTAAATTACAATTCCTGGAGGACAGGAGGCTGCTGGGCACTACTTCCAGTTACATCTACACACCAATAAGACCTCTGCTAGGCTCGGAATGAGAGACATTCACAAGAATTATGATAAATGAACCGGGGATCATTATAAATTGAGGTAGACCACTGGCGGAGCTTCTCTTCATCTGAATATGGACTACTAACTAGGGATGCACCTATACCGATAGTGCCAATACTCACCTCCAATACCGGAACTTCCTGTCAGAAGGATATTTCCACTGACAGGCAGTGCCACAGGGAACATGGAGCGGTATCGGCGTGTACTGAACTATAAGTATCTCGTACTCGATACGCGCCGCGGGGGCTGGCCAGGGGCGGCAGGCGCGCCGCGGGGGCTGGCCAGGGGCAATGAGAATGTTACATTTTTGATCACAGATACACTTTCACTATAGGATTACGCAGTGAACTCGCCATATCAGTCACAGCGGGGGTCAGTCTCACCTCTGTAGCGGTACAGGGCGTTCCACTGGAACTGGGAGGACACCAGAGGCCTCTCCTGGAAGATGGTCACCCCCTTCCGGATGCTGCGAGTGGCGAAGAGCCCCCTCCCCTGCGGAGACAAACAAAAAACGTTTTTTCATTTTTAAATTAAAAATTGGGGGAAAAGTTATAATTTATTTTGACTACAATTTTTATTACTGCGTGCCCCCATCGGGGACAATGCCCTTCACTTCCTGCGAGCGAGTGGAGACCCCATCAATCACACTCACCACTGGAAAATTTCTCCTCCACTCCTGTCCCAGTGACAGCCATAAAAACCCATCACTGTCAGTCCAGGTGACAATGGTCAACATGCCAATTAGAATGAGCCTCTCCCCAATGGGGACACAGAGCTGGGCCAGCACAGGCAGCAATCAGACAATTCCAAAAAAGGAAAGGACGACGTGTGAGGAAGGAGGAGCTGGGCCAGCGCAGACAACAATAAAACAATCCCAGAAGAGAATGATATGGCCATGATACACATTATCCAATCACAGTGAAGTAAAGGAGAATGCGTTTTTCTCATGATTGGAGAATTGAAGTCAATATTCACACAGTGAATTTCACAGGCGCTAGTCCTAGGGCCCCCCCGTCTCTTCCTTCTAAGCACCTCTTGCGGGGTATTTGTGGCCCCCTGAGGGGAGGAGCAGACACCCCCCCAGCAGTGAGTGACAGAAGAGCCTGAACTGAGGCACACCTCCAGGGGTGTGGAAATGTAAAAAACAAAAACTACTTGTCCAAGGACTCAAGAGGGGGGCCAATCTACACGTCCAGACCCAAAAACATTTTTTTTAACCAAGCGAAGAAGCGCTTCTCACTGCTCAGTGGGGGTCACCTGACCGCGCTGACCAACGAGTGCTCGCAATTTGCAAGCAAAATTTTAAAATCCAAAGGGCAGGGCTGTGCTGGACGGCGGTATGGGGTACAGATAGTACTGGCGGAGGAGAAGCCCCGTGCGCTGAAAAGGTAAGTATAGCGCTGGGGGAGGGACTGTGGGGAGAGGGGGTGGGGCTTGGCCAGATTTGAGCGGGCAATTCCACTTTCCTCCAATTAATTGGGAAAGTGAACTTGCCCTTTAATGCACATTGGGCCTTATAGAGAGCACTGCTTATTCACATGCAGATGGCAGAGGGGCCGGGGGCTGGTTTTAATAGGGATGCACCGATATTGGTATTTCGGGTACCGGTATTTCTTCCGGTACTCACCGATACCGAATACCAATACCACAAGTCCCATTCAGGAAGCCAGGTGGTGTTTAATGACTCACCACCTGGCTTCCTGATTAGCAGGGAAGCCGTCTCCATGCTCCCTCGTCACCAGGTGACCAGGTCACCTGATTGGGTAATGATTCATCGCCTGGCTTCCTGATGGGCCAGCTTCTCGACCAATCAGGAGGCCAGGTCATTACACGGTGCCCGGCTTCCTGATTGGCTGGGAAGCCAGCTCCATGCTCTATGTCACCAGGTGACGAGGGAGCGTGAAGTCAGCTTTCTGGCCAATCAGGAAGCCTGGGAGGGCGGGTAAAGACTCGCCACCTGGCTTCCTGACATGGTCGGGACGCTGGACAAATCAGGTAGCCAGACGGCTAATCATCACACGCTGCCCGGCTTCCTGATTGGCCGGGAAACCGGCACCAGGTGATGAGGGAGCATGGAGCCTGCTTACTAGCCAATCCGGAAGCCGGGCAGCGTGTAATTACTTGCTGCCCAACCTCCTGATACTGGAAGTCTGGCTATCGGGCTAGGCATCAGAGCATTTGGCCGAGTACTTGCCCAAAAACTCGGTAGCTGCACCGATACCAGTATCAGTATGTCCCTAGTTTACTTTATCACTTAATCTTATTATTTTATACTTTTTCATCACTTTTTTTTTAACTATTTTATACATTTTCTATTTTTATTTTGTTAAATTTTTACTTTATTATTTTTTAACTTTTTCCTCTTAACTTTATTACTATCACACTGGGGCTAACAATGATGAGAGAGTCCGCACAGCCCACCATAGACCCCGCACAGCCACCAGAGAGTCCGCACAGCCCACCATAGAACCCGCACAGCTCACCTGAGAGTCCCCACAGCCCACCATAGAACCTGCACAGCCACCTGAGAATCCCCACAGCCCACCATAGACCCTGCACAGCCACCTGAGAATCCGCACTATTACAGTAATTGCCATTATTTTTCCTAGACTTCTACTTTCAGAGCTAGTTATGAAGTTATTACAAGCAGTAATAATGGAACGCAGAGACAATGATTTAATATGGAGGAGGAGGAGTAGATATATAGTCCTAGAGGTACAACCGGCCCTTTGAGGGCAACCAGAACGCTGATGAGGCCTGCAATGAAATTGAGTTTGACACCCCTGCTGTACCGCTATTCTTTGCTGTATTCCTTGCTGTGCCTGGGGTGATAACACTGCACTCCCATTTATTGCTGTCTCATATTTCCATCCTGTACTCCTATGGACTCACCCTGTCTGCACCATACCGCTGTCTGGCCCCTTCCAGGAACTGATCCCGGCTCTACAGATCTGGTGTACCCTCTGGATGAATGCCCCCCCCCCCTTCATCAGATGCAGCACGGTGGTGTGTATCAGACTGGCACGCCACCACCACCACCATAGTCAGCCATATTGGAGGTAAAGGACCAATCACAGATTATGTAAACGCACATGAGCAGACGTACACTGACGTGCACGTTAAGCCCCAATTCATCTGCCTTATTCATACACTAGGATCATCAACCCTTACACTTCCAATACGAGGGGCTCCTGGAGACAGAGGACCCTGATTGGTCAGAAGCACACACAGACCGTGTCATATTTCAGCTTCTGTACTGACCAGTCACTGATATACGATCCCTCATCTACAGAATACCAGTATGGGGGAGGGTACACCGGGCTCATTCAGCTCCATACTGCGGCCCCGGCATACAGGAACTCCAATAACCCCGGCAGGTCGCAGTCCCATCCCCCCTCCTCCATCCTAACCTTGCCACTGCCGATGTGACGGATCTCCACCGCCCGCCTGGCCGCCACCGGCTCCGCACACCGCCAGAACATGTCAGCCGTGGAGGCCGCCATGATGGGAGGAGGAGCCAGAGCCATCAGTGGGCGTAACACGTCACCGCGTACCTAACCCGCCCACAGCTCGAGCTGATTGTTGTCCGCCGCTGGCCACACCCCTGTCAAGGAGTCTATGGCTCCGCCCACTGCTTATGAAGTATGCAGTCCGCAGCTGGCCACTCCCCCAACCATATTCTACCGCCCACTCCTCCTTTTATATTGCGTCTAGTAGGCTGCTAGCCACTCCCCCACCAGATATTTTACCGCCCTGTCCCCGCCCACAGCTCACGCTGACTATAGTACTCTGCTGCCAATCCCCGCCAGGTACTTTGCTGCCCCCTCCCGTCCTGTCCTGTAGCTGCACCTCCCAGCTCATGCCTATTGTAGTAAACTAAGCTATGTGGGGACAGTAATATAGAGGGACCGTAATATAGAAAGACACTCTAATGGGGACAGTAATATTCAGGGACACTCTAATGGGGACAATAATATAGAGGGACACTGATGGGGACAATAATATAGAGGGACACTCTGATGGGGACAATAATATAGAGGGACACTCTGATGGGGACAATAATATAGAGGGACGCTAGGGTTGCCACCTGTCCAGGATTCACCTGGACAGTTCGGGTTTTGAATGCTGTGTCCGGGTTTCATGGCAGCAGAAACCCGGACACAAGATGTCAGGCAGACAGGGGCAACCAGAATTAAGATAGGGGCTACTGGCCCCCCACTGAAAATGGTCTCAACTGTGATATTTACATATGAATGGGCGGCGCTATTTACATATGTATAAGCCATGGCTTATTCTCCCCAAAAAATGTCTGCACGTCACTAGAGTGTTCGGGTTTCGCTTGAAGAAAAAGTGGCAACCCTAAGGGACGCTCTGATGGGGACAATAATATAGATGGACGCTCTGATGGGGACAATAATATAGAGGGACACTCTAATGGGGACAATAATATAGAGGGACACTCTAATGGGGACAATGATATAGAGGTACACTCTAATGGGGACAATAATATAGAGGATGTCTAATGGGGACAATAATATAGAGGGACGCTCTGATGGGGACAATGATATAGAGGGACGTCTAATGGGGACAATAATATAGAGGTACACTCTGATGGGGACAATAATATAGAGGTACACTCTGATGGGGACAATAATATAGAGGTACACTCTGATGGGGACAATAATATAGAGGTACACTCTGATGGGGACAATAATATAGAGGTACACTCTGATGGGGACAATAATATAGAGGTACACTCTGATGGGGACAATAATATAGTAGGACGCTCTAATGGGGACAATAATATAGAGGGAAAACTAACACGCCCATTCAACAAGAGACTTTGTTATTCCACCTGCTAGAAGACTATTTTGTTTGAACCCTCCAGATACTGAGAACGATACCAGGAGGTAAAGACTCAGAACGAGATGACATGCTTTTTAACTCTGCATTACTATATACTTTGAACTATCTATTTATATATTATATTTTTGCAATATCATTGTATGCTGTGACTTTCCATTATACAATTAAAGTCACAAGTTTTTCAATCTACAACTGGACAATCATTGATGAAGATTAATCACCTTCAGACACTTAAATCGCAAGTGTCAGTCGAGAAATACTAATTTTCTTACAGAGGGACACTCTAATGGGGGCAATAATATAGAGGGACACTCTGATTGACACTAATTGATTGACACTAATTGATTGACACTGTGAGAAAGGTCAGTTTTGGAAGAGGGATTTCTCTGCAGTAGGGCAGTGTTTGGTGTGGACAGCAGGAGAGGTAAGCATTCCTATGCTTCTTTACAGGTATGGCATTTTAAAACAAACTTTATGTAAGCGACAGTGTAATTTTATCCCAAACCTTAAGAGAGTCATTTAAAAAGATAATTCTTCTAGTATTGAGGAACAATCATGGAGGTCCTGGCTTTGTGCACATCGGCACGGCCATGAAGAAACAGAGAAAGGCCTTTCCCACAATGTGAAAGATTTTTCAGGAAGCCCATCTTCATAAGACAGCGGAGCTCAGTGGTATAGAAGGTGGAACTTGTACTTTGCAGAGGACATGTCTGATTGGAAGCCCAAGTTATTTCTTGTATTCATATCCCTGTAGCCCATTATATTACGGTATATCCATTTACATATTGGAGTCTTGAAGATTTTTGATAGAAGGATCAATATTAATTGGAAGGAAAACTGGGTGTCCTTTCTCTCCCTTTAATAACCTTCATGCCATTTTGGAAAGTAAAAAGAAAAGATTTCTCAAAAACTTTTCGATATTCACAGTTTGTTTAGATGCTTTACATGCTTTATGTGATACTTTAACACCTATACGCTAATAACACACTCTGTCTCGTTAAGAATAAATAGCCTATTCGGTCTTTTTCACTACGGTTCATAGTACAGGATACATTTCTATTCTGACTCCGATCGTTGTGATAGCGAAATATATCCCTTGCTGAGACCTCTATGCCTGGCCTGTATAAGCAGATATACTCACTGCGGACAATCCTCTTCAGATAGCTGAACTCGTCAATACCGATTCATTCAAAAGAGGTGTTTATTCTTTAACATCAGGGTTACAGCAGATGATAGGAACAGCAGTTGAACGGTTATAGTATTGTGCGGTCAGAAAATGATGCATTTCCTACGTACTGTGCAGATCACATGTGTGTCCTTGTTACATGTGGCTCTTAACTGTGGCCATGACACAGGAAGTACTGCACACAGAAAGAAGGGAGGGGCATACATAGACTGGAAATATGTCATCACATGGGGAACAGAAATACAGAAAAGACATGTGTGATATCACAAAGGCCACTAGATGGCAGCATAGGATAAGACATGGATTTGCTATGGGGAAAATAGTTAGGCAAAAACACACTATAATAACTCTATCTAAAACAATGCTAATATTAACTGAGGCTATGCATCTCATATTCTATGCCCCGTTGGGGCGGCACAATTTCCGATCAAAAAAAATGCGCCCTGTGGAGACATACACAGGTACGCAATGTTTTCAATTGTTCTAATTTGTTTCTAATTAAAAGAGATTATTCAGAACACTTAAATGAGAGAACCAAAACCCTTGCTAAACAACGCCCTTCTGATGAAGCCCCGGTGGGGGGTGAAACGCGTCATAGGCGTTAGCAAAGGGTTCTCTCATGTGACTGCCTCGGCCGAGGCCGCCACGCTTTTTTGGCCTTATACTTCATTTGAAAGTTACTTGTTATCTGGTATATCCTATCCATGAGAATACATCTAGAATCCCAAGTCGGAAAGAGAGGAGAGAACAGTATTTTATGCAATCATCGACCATTTAGGAGCCGAATAAATATATTTTTATAAATATTTGCTCTATACTTGAAAAAATGGTGGGATCCCCTTTTGGGGAAAACTGTATCTTTTACTAATATATATAAGCAGGGGACCGTCCATTATAATAATCTTTGCTGCCATGCCTCATTAACCTTCCTTCCCCGATATGTATGTTCTATACATTTTCAATGGTAGTAAGTTATTCCTGTGCACTTTACATCTGCTGAGTAAACTCCACTTTTTTGTTGGTTAATATCATTTGGCTGAGTCTAGTAGTTCCAGCAGAAACAATGGCATCATGATTTGTTCTGTAACTTTAATAAAGACTAGAAATAACCCACGACCCTTCCACCACTGTGGAGTCTCAGTGTTCTCTATCAGTAGGCATGCAGCGATTTGTTGTTCCACAATTGTTGTCAGGAAAAACGGGCGCGTGGCCGTGCTCAAAGACCTGCTCGTGTGTGTGGTCAAGCTTTCACCTATGCCAGGACAAATGCGCATAGACGTTGCTCACGTGGATAGGCCTATACATTTGGGCCTAGGATTACATGGTTTTTGCACAGGTGCATGAGCATAATTAAGAGTGGACTGTCTATTTAAACCAAAGTTTCATCAAGGGAAGCTGCTGAGTGTTCATCAGCTTCTGCTTCCTGTGACTTGACCTGTGTGCTTCTCCTGTGTGTGTCCCTGTGCCTTTAAGGAGGTTGGGCTGCCTCCTGGCAAACCTGCACCCAATTTTATCTTTTGCTACGTGGGCTCCAAGATGGAGACTCTCATAGGTTAGAGTTAGGACCGCACTATACAGAGGGGCCTTGATGAGACAGTGCGGCTTTCACTTATTCTGCAGAAGATGTGTATCTAAGACCTCTGTTTTTAACCCTAGCGGTTAGACAGGTTTTTTTTGCATGCTGGCTGGTGAGTGTGCTGGGAAATTTTTTTGCTGTTCTCCTGTGATTTGACCTGGCTTGTTTTGATTCTGCGATATCTCTACCCCCTAACTTTGTATCCTGACTACACTTCCTGGCTGCTGTTTTGTGCTTTCTCTGCTCGGCTGTGCTTGACCATGGCTTGCTTCATGACTTTGTACCCGGCTTACTTCCTGTGTACCTGCGTTGCCTGGCCGTGATGGACCTTTGGCTTGCCTTTGACCCCGCTACATTTGAGCCAGCTACAGGCACTCATGCTTCTCCAAGCTCCCGCATACCCTATCTCTATTCCAGGGACCGCTGGACAGGCGGTGCAAGGGACTCCCCATATCAAAAAACCTCCATCACGTGACAATTGCTGAAAAGCCACAGGCGGTCAACCTGCTATTACCAGAAAGACCCGTGATTAGATTGATAACATGCAGAGTTTTCCACTGAAGTGGAATTAAGGGTAAGCAATAATGAGAAGCGACTAGAAAGGCTTTGAAGAGAGGCTGTGCAGCATTAAAGTGACACTCTCTTCTTGCACATGCAAGACAAAGTGATGGTATCTCTGTAAAGGCCCTCAACCCAGTACTTACAGGATTGGAGATGAATGCTCCCCTGGGACAGTGCTTGGTTCTAGTGACATAGCATGATGGCTCCCCTAGGTTGCTGACAAACAGAGCAGTTTGTGGAGGTCGAAAGAGTGGAAAAGGAACACTGAGAGATGAGTATAGGGGGTCAGGGGACCCTTTGGATGGGAACTGTCACTTTGCCCTGTATTGACAAGGTGAGAGGGTCTCTTTAGGTGGACTACAGAGTGGAAATACAGATAGAGAGAGCCCTCCTAATCCTTCCCTGGTAAGAAGTGATCTGTGCATATCCTAGGGAAGATGAATTAGACAAATGTGCTCATACTGAGCATTCACATAAACAGATGGTTCATGATATTCATTTTATTAGTAGATAATAGTATATCACGCTACAGCTCATGCAATAACATATACTGATCCATCACAAGTGCAACCGGATGTTTATATTTATTTAAGCACTAATAGAATTATCTCTACAATCTATTTTTCTTAGAAAGTAGATCAGTTTGTGTGTTCAAGTCTGGCCGAAACAGAATCATAAAACATTTTGGAAAAAATATACAGCTGAGTAGTCCAGCACTGGAGACCAGTATGGTGAATACCTCCACAGCCACCACGTATTTCCCTTTAGTGCTCAGATAGGCCGGGATCATGGCAATCCAGACACTGCAGAACACCAGCATGCTGAAGGTGATGTACTTGGCCTCATTAAAACTGTCCGGTAATGTCCTCACCATGAAAGCCAAAACAAAACTCACAGCTGCCAGAAACCCCATATAACCCAACACAGAGTAGAACCCGATAACTGACCCTTCATTACACTGAATGACGATCTTGTCCTGATAAGAGTGAGCGTCCATTTCCTCAAAAGGAGGTGAAGTAGACAACCAAATGAGACATATGGTACACTGAACACATGAAAGTAGCACCGCTACAACATTTGGAAGTTTGACTCCAAGCCATTTCCTCCAGTAACTTCCAGGCTTGGTGGCAGTAAAAGCAATGTAAACCATGATTGTTTTGGCCAGAAGAGAGGAGACGGCTATGGAGAAGATGACTCCAAATGTCATGACGCGGAGTATACAGGTTACATTTATTGGATGACCGAGGAACAAAAACACACAGAGGAAGCTCAGCATGATACAGACAAGCAGGACAAAGCTCAAGCTCCGATTATTAGCTTTGACAATGGTGGTATCCAAATAGGATATAAAGATTCCCATAATGAAGAGAGTCACAAGACAAAGCAACACAGAAATGGATACAAATACTGTAGAAATATCATCAGAATAGGAGAGGAATTGCACCAGTTTGGGAATACACCGATCCTTCTTCTCATTCGACCATTCATCTTCTAGACACTGAATACAATTCTCGCTGCCTGCTTAAAAATAAAAACATTCTTAATGCATTCAGTACATTTATTTTTTACATTTTTTGCTCTTGATTCTTTTACATTTATTTAAAGTTAGATCATTCTGGTTGCGATTACTAGGTTTAGTCTATTTGCAAGGTGCTACTGAATCTCTCATTCATTTAGCCATCACGAAGGCATGTTTTCCTGCGAGATGACTAAAGAGCCGATGGATTTTGCTGAACGTTCGGCTAATCCTGCAGCTGTAGAAACCATTCGGTTCAGCTCTTCCAATAGCGCGCACAGCAGCCGAAGGCAGCCAAGCCAAATGCACATGCTTCGGCTCGACAAAGCCGAACACACAGCCAGAGCGGGGAGAATGGTCCGCCGAAGCAGACCACATCCCTGCAAGTTGTTTAAGAAATAGAATTTTTTAAAAATACAGTGCTGGGTTCCACTCCCCAATTCATAACAGACCCTTTACTTTAGGTTTGGTAGGAATGATAGGGGGATCCCCGATGTAAAAAACAAAAAACAAAACGTAGGGTTCCCTTACAAATTCATACCAAACCCTTCAGGTCTGGTAGGAATTTGAAAGGGAGACCACAAAACCAAGAAACAAAAAAAAAAGTGGGGTCCCCCCTAAAATTTCATACCAGACCCTTAATCCGAGCACTGGCCTGCCAGAGCAGGAAAGGGGGGAGACAAGTAAGTGCCCCCCCTTCCTGCACCATACCAGGCCACATACCTTCAACATTGACAAGGGACCTCTTCCCCACAACCCTAGCCCGGTGGTTGTGGGGGTCTGCGGGCAGGGGGGGTCATGTGCATTTGGGTGCCTCCTTCATGAAGGTGCACTCAGATGCCACCTTCCCCTTGTGAATAAATAATGGGTAGTTGTTACTCCTACTCATTCATCAAAGAGTACACCAAAAAGAAATGAAAATCATCACACCTTGAAAAAGTCCTTCAATTAAACAAAAAACAAGTCAGTTTTTGACAATTCCTTTATTCGTAAAAAAAAAATAAAAAAAATTGTCCAATGATGCAATCCAAAGGTCAATCACGTCGTCGAGCGATGTAGATCCTTGTCAATCATGATGAACAATGCCTGCTGACTCGCCAAAATAAAAAAAGGTCCGCCAAACGTCCATCGCAAATTGACAAATCCGGTCTGAATGTAAACAAATGGGCGGAGCAACTAGCTCCACCCATTTGTTTTCATTTCATGACAGCTGTTGGGGAACCAAGAAACCAGACTGAAACTTAAAGTACAGATTTAAAATAGAAAAGGAGTTTATTGAAAACAATAAACATAAATGGCAAAAAACAATGGAGAACGTCCAGGAGGTATTCAGTGCCGAGCCAGGGGTCAGATGCCAAACAGTGTAGTCTGCCAAGCAAGATCAGGGAGCACAGAGAGCAGGATGAATGGAAACAAAGCCGGAGTCAGGATCATACATGGAAATCAGGAATAATATCAGCACACTTGGTTGATCAGAACAAACCCAAGGGCGGAGACTGAACGGACAAGGTAAGGTTAAATAGAGAACTGGTGCCAACATCATCACTGTGGGACAGGAATACCCTGGAGTCTAGCCAGTGCAGCAGACTGATGATGTGTGAGGGTTTGGTCATAAAAGGGCGGTAAAGAGCAACCACAGTGTTACAAACACTCAGCCATGCTGCAAGGGTAAGAAACCCTAACAACAGCTATTTAACCCTTTCTTGCTCTGCCCGGCCACTGCTCAGATTAAGGTTCTGGTATGGAAAGTTTTTTTTGTTTTTTGGGCATAAAGGTCCCCCTTAAAATTCCCACAACACCTAAAGGGTCTGGTATAAATTGGGAAGGGGACCGCGTGCTGTTTTTGTTTTTTGTTTGTTTACCTCTGAGGTAGGGAACAAAGTGACTGAGTTGAATGCTGAGCTGAGCATTCGGGAATTCACTCTCTGCTGTTCGTCCCCTTTCAGAATAGGGGTGAACAGCAGGGAATTGGTACAGAAGGAGAGGATTAACTCGTTAAAAGATAACGGGTTAGCAGCGGTCAACTTAGGGATCCGGACAAGCCAATTGATTTCCCCGTGGGGGGAAAATGACCGATGTACCTAGTACTTCAGTCTTTCTCCCTCCGTGAAAATCCCCATATGCATGCCAACTTTCGTAAACTACATGGACTGGAGGGATTATCCCAAAGTGGGGAGAAAAAGGAATTTTCTTCTGATTTCTATATTCGAGTGAAAAGAAGGATTTTAAACAGATCAGTAATTCCAACACTGACTTCCTCCGCTTTTTCGTTGGATTTATAACAGACGTTTAAAGTTAATGTTACGACTGTCCTGACGAAGCCCCGTACAGTGGGAGGGGCGAAACGCGTCGACAGATAGACAGAGATCAGACGTATAGTCACTATGCCACAAGTGGATATATGATCTTGAAGCCAGGGAACTCTGGCAAATCCTAAATCGGGGCTTGCGGTTCTCATTTGACGGACAGACCATATCCTGAACACCCAGGGAGTTACCAAAGATCCATTGAGTGGAAACATCCCTCGAACCCACTATTGGAGACTAGATTGCAACAATCACCTCCTGGAAGAAATAGCGAGACGTGCTCACACTCAAGTGGACTATTGGACCATACTGGAAAAAATCTCCAAACCGCCCGGACTATGAGAAAACTTCAGTAACGTGAGTGACTAAAAAAGTGTTAGATATATCTGTAAAGGACATCATTTGAATATCACTCTGAAGTAAAGATCTACACTTAAAATTTGAGTATAAGGAGAAAGAGAAGAAAAAGTCAGGCGGTTTGTTAATTGAAGATAACCCAGTGATAGTCTGTCCGTGAGAAACCCCCTCCCCCATTAACAAAAGGTCCCTTTATACCTCACCGCTCCAACTATGGTAGTCCATGGCTGATGAACAGGAAGGGGTCAATTGCACACACGGCCAGATCCAAGCCGGTGACATTTAACGCCAAACAAAAGGAAAATTCTAGCTGAAACGATAAGCAGGAGACAGAAGGAAAAATAGTCTGAAAGCAAAGTGAAAATATATTCCTCCAAATTAAGAAGACTTACACACAGGAAATATCAAACCAACAAGCAACATTAACTTTAAACATCTGTTATAAATCCAATGAAAAGTGGAGAAAGTCAGCGTTGGAATTACTGATCTGTTTAAAATCCTTCTTTTCACTCGAATATAGAAATCAGAAGAAAATTCCTTTTTCTCCCCACTTTGGGATAATCCCTCCAGTCCATGTAGTTCACGAAAGTTGGCATGCATATGGGGATTTTCACGGAGGGAGAAAGACTGAAGTACTAGGTACATCGGTAATTTTCCCCCCACGGTGAAATCAAGGTCAATGCAAATGAGGATCGATCCACATATAATTTATGACTGTCTGTAATCTACAAGTTTTTAATGGTAATTAGTGAGTCCAATGTGTTGTCCTAAATGTTGTTTTCAATAAAAAAAACTTTGTTTGCAATCAATTGGCTTGTCCGGATCCCTAAGTTGACCGCTGCTAACCCGTTATCTTTTAACGAGTTAATCCTCTCCTTCTGTACCAGTTTGACCTGGTCACGGATCGGACCAAACAAGCAATTGTGCAGACTCAATCAGGGTGATTGCAATCAGTCGGATCTCCAGGTAGGAACACAAACCCTTTCTTGAACAGCAGGGAATTAACTGACGAACGTTCGCCTCAGCCGATCCAGATGTTGCATCGGCTGAGGCAAATGGGTTCTTCCCTTTGGTTCAGCCGAACATGCTGAGGCTGTTTGGCCGAGCCGAAGGGAGGTGAAGCGGGGCGAATGCAGCCAATGTACGGCTAAGAATAGCTGTACGCGGCTGGAGTGAAAAGCCGCACAGGCTCCGCTCACTTCACTTCGGGGCGGTTACTCATTCGGCTGCCTTTGGCAGATTAGTAAATAACCCCCTAAAATGTAAAGTCGTTTTTAGTCGTTTAAAGAATTGGTCAGGCAGAATGCAATTTCAGTTTTCCTGGAAGTTTGTGTCCACAGAAGATTTTCTACAAATGATTTTCCTTAGACTAAAAAACATTGAGATAAAAATTTCCTTTCACTGTCTGAAGATTACAGGAAGCCAAGGCTGTTTTTAGCTGCTTGGCCAACTTGACATATTCTCTTTGGTTCTCCAGCATCTACCACACGCTAAAATGGTTTTGGTTGGACTGACATATTGTCTTTGGTTATTCAGCATCTACCAAACACCGAAATATCAGTTTTGGTTGGACTGATCCTTAGAAATATACTGTATACCTGTAGTATTGGATATCTCTCCTTCTGAACATGGGACACAGTCGTGGCAGCAGGAATGGATCGAAGATCTTGACTTCTTTCTGGTTCCTGGTTGACACATTTCTGAGCACCGTGACAGTGGTACCTGTAGATGAGAAGGTTTTGCATATAATTACAAGTGAATTCTTACTTTAGTTACATAGTATTTGAGGTTGAATAAAGACACATGTCCATCGAGTCCAACCTATTGTGTGTATGTGTGTGGTCCTAATGATGTGTGCGTATGTATAGGTCCCTGTGTGTTCTCCTTCTTAAGAATACTTGTACCCCTGTATATGACGGTCCCTGAGGAAATCGTCCAATCGCCTCTTGAACGATTCCACACTCTCAGTCGAAATCACAGCATGTGGCAGCGAGTTCCAGACCTTAACCGCTCTAACCGAGAAGAACCCCCTTCGCCCTTTGTGCTGACATTTTTTCTCCACCAATTTTAGGTGTTGGCCTCTCGCCCTTGTCATGGAGTTAATTGTAAAAGGTTTGCTGCTAATGTTTCAATCCCCGGTAAACATTTTATACATGAAAATCATATCCCCCCTTAATCTCCTCACTTCCAAGTAGAAAATGTTAAAACTCAGTAGCCTTGTCTCATAGCTTTGGTCCTCCATCCCCTTTATGAGTTTTGTTGTCCTCCTCTGGACTCTTTCCAGTTTGAGGGTATTCTTTCTGTTCACTGGTGCCCAAAACTGGACCGCATACTCCAGATGAGGCCGAACCAGCGATCTATAAAGTGGCAAAATTATAGACTTGTCCCTGCAAAACATTCCCCTCTTAATACAGGAAAGGACTCTACTTGCTTTGTTTACCGAAGCCTGACACTGCGAGCTATTATTCAGTCTACAATGACCCCCAAATCTTTCTCCATTTCTGACTTCCCCAGTGGAGTTCCCATTAGTGTGTATTTCGCTTTTCTATTTTTAACCCCAAAGTGCACAACTTTACATTTATCTACATTAATCCTCATGTGCCATATAGTTGCCCACTCCCCTATTTTATCCAGATCCCCCTGTAATGTTATAGTGTACAATTCAGTGTCTATTACCCTCCCGATTTTGGTATCATCAGCAAACACTGAAACATGGCTGTTTACCCGTTCCCAATATCGTTAATGAATAGGTTAAACAGCATGGGGCCCAGTACAGAACCCTGCGGCACTTTCCCACTACTCGCACCACCAGAACTCTGATCTGTTTTGCAGAAAACCACGGCTGAATATGAAGGTAAAATGATCCTTACAGGGGTTTTAATCAATTGAGTCCGCAGTGATGACCCAGCTACCTACCTCTGCATTCTGCACCTCCATTCCTCCACCCTGCTCTATGCAGGCACCTTCCAGCACCTGATGGGTAATATCCAAACTTTGACTCGAATAATACACACTACATTGCATTTCACATGTAGCATTCCCCTGACCCCCAAAAGCATGTGAGAGAGCCCAGGGGCAGAGTGAGCTAGCATTTCACCTCAGGGGTATGTCCTTGGCTGGTTGCGGGGTGCGAATGTAAGTTGGGCATTAGCCACTTAAAGGTGTTTTAAATATTTCATTATTTATGGTACCCACAAGGAGAGAGTGGGTAGGGGCTACAGACACCCGGGACATGTACACAGGGCCGGTGCTAGGATTTTTGCCAGCACAGGCAAAGTTTAATTTTTGGCAAGTACTTGTCAAAATGCACTGTTTTTTCCGCCCTCACCCTGCAGCGCCCTCAGGCGGCCGCCTGACTTGCCTTGCGGTAACGCCGGGCCTGCATGTACAGATTCTAGACTCTGCATCCACTTCCAGCTACACAGTGCAGGGAGCCTTTAAGTCGAGACTGGCATCACTGTATCAAGCAGAACTCTTAGCTGGCAAGCAGATTATTCCATGTTACCAGGCCCTTGCAAGGTTCCAGCTTCTACCCCAGCCTCACCTTCCAGCAAAGACACTAGCGCAGGCACTCCATCTTGGGTCAGCTTTCTCCCCCTCTACATGCAGTACAGGTCCAGGCCCAAATCAACGCCTTCATTTCCAGACACATGCAGGCCTTCCCTAGGCAGCAGATCTAGCAGAACTACACACCCTGCCCCAAGCAAGAACGTGGGGAAAAGAGACATACACAAAGAAAGCCACCGAGTATTTATGTCTACCCCCCAGCATGCACCACTGACGATAAACCTCCTAGTGGTATATACAAATATTCATAATCCAGCATTATTGCATCTTCACCCCAGCAGCAGGCATAAGCATACAATAACACTGGGTTTAGGGAAGACTAAATGAGGAATGCATTAAAATGCATTAACAAAAATGTATCTTATTTGTGTATCACTCGGCTGTAGATCCTTAAATCATCTCTGAATTGGTGCCGGCACTGTCCTTCCTTCTGGAGGGGGGCTACTTTTGTTCCCCATAGTCCCTGTCTGTGTTGTAAAGTAGTCACCACTCCAAAAATAAAAAAATACAGCAAGTCCAGTTGCCTTGATTTATTTTTTACAGATATACCATGACCTGGATGATTGAGAACCTTTACTGACAGAGATCATTTTGTTGTTCAGTTTTGGTTAAAATTATAATCCTACCCACATGAATAGACCCTTATGTTGAGGAACAATTACTGACAATTTATAATACAATTATTATTACCCAATTTTTGGTAAAATAGAAACGATAGGGTTATGTCGGGTAAATAGACGTCAAGGTTTAAAATTGCACGCACCCGTGAAATCGCGAAAAACTACCATACCCAAAATTGACCATAGGCGAAGCTTTAAAAGCTTTTACCTCTCATCAGTTTCGGGTTATCAGTGATTAAGGGCCCTAGAATTATTGCTCTCACTGAAAAGTTTGCATATATAGGGGTCTATTCAATAAGCTGCCGAAGTATCTAGCCGTACCTTCAGCTGATCCTTTGGCTAGCTTCGGCCCCAGGACCCCTTCGGTTCAGTAGAACCAAAGGGCTGCTGTAAGGGCTATTCACTATAGCCCGTACAGCTCCCGAAGATGGCCGAGCGGCTCAGACGAGGTAAAAGCCAAAGCTGGTCGAACAGCCGGCCATTGGCCGGCCGACAGCCTGCTAATGACAGTTGGGCGGAGCCAGCCATCACCTCACTGCTGGCTGCGGCCACTTGCAGAGACAGATCAGCGTCCCCTGCTTACCTACCTTATTGTCCTTTCTGTTCCATGTTATGGCTTGTTTGTTGATGTAAAGTTGTTGACCTGATATGGAATAGTTGCCAACATCAATGTCTACATAGCAGAAATCGTTTTCTTCTTTTATCCAGTTCATTATTTTGTAGTGGTAGGCAAATTCTCCGTTGTCATTAAAAAAAGGCTCATCTGACATATCGAGCAAGTATGTTATTTTCGATATGTAATGATGCAACTGAAAAGTAATATAGACAAGTCCACCATATATGAAAACGAATGGTTACAGTAGATGTAAACCCAACCAGTAAAATGTTGATGCCATTTTAAGAGCTGTTTCCAAGGCTCTTTAACCACTTCTAGCGGGCCCATGTAAATGTATGTCATCCGCTGTTTGTGGTTATAGCAAGAACACGGCTGCAGTTCCGTTTTAAACAGCAGACGATTGCTGTTTAAATACAAGTGATCTGGCATCTGTACAGGTGCTGGATCACTTGTAGGGTGCTGCGCCATGTGTCCCCCCCCCCCCTGCCATCGGCTTCCCGAGCTCCCCCGTGTGAGCCCGGGACCAGCACGGCGGGTCTACCCTAACAGATCGGTAGGAAATCAGCAGGCTTCCAGCCGCTGATCTCTCCTCGAATCACTGGACCTGGAAGTGATGTGCATTACATCACTTCCGGTGTCACTGTGCACATTCTCTGCCCAGAAGAAGAAGCTGGTGGAGCAGATCTCTACTTCATCAGCTTCTTTGGGGTCCTTGGTGACATCAGGGGTCTGAAAAGTGTACTGGTGGCAGCGGGAATTCCCATACCCAGTAATAAAACATATCAGCTAGATTGTCCGGACAAAAGCCAGAAAGTTCCCAACTATGTCCACAACACACCCACAATATGCCTTGCCTGCAATTGAATGTTCATGCTTTAGACCTCTTTTTTGGGGTTATTTATCGTGTTCAGATCCCCCAGCTGATCAGCACACAATTTCAGCTTTTTTTTTTCCAGGACCCTGCCCAAGTTATTCACAATAAGCAAGTAGCTTTAAAATCCTATGGATCAGGTTAGTTACTACCTGTCACTTTAAAGCAGAACCAAACCCTCTTATCCTCCTTTCTGCCCAGGTCCATGCATCCGAATGTCCGAATTCCAATGAGGCAAACTAACGGATCATCTGAATTTAGTTAAAGGAGAATTATGAGGCGAGTAATTTTCACTCAGCCTCATAATCTGAGCCGACCTGTGACAATGAAACTTTCACAGGTCGGCTCAGTAGATCGGGAAGTGAGCGAACACATACCGGCGCTCGCTCACTTCTCGATCTATCCGTTCAGAGAGCCGTGACAGGGGAGGGACTGGATTCCCCCCTCCCCTGTCCGATCCTCCAGCGGTGACTGGTGAAACGGACGGGGGAGGGGGCGGGGACAGCTGGCTCTGCCTCTAGATAGGCAGAGCCAGCTGTCAGTCACGCAGATGGGCGGATCCAGACAGAATTGTCGGGATCCGTTCCAGCTGCGGCGTCTAAGTATGCCGCGAGCTGTAGCTCGCGGTATACTGAGCTTTGGGTGACGGGACGATGCTAGTTTGTGTCCTCCCGTTACCCTTAGGAGAGCTATGGGGAAAAACCACATAGTTCTCCTTTAAAAATGAAACGAAATCAGACACGTGACTGTTTTCTGGCCAATCAGAAAACCTTGTCAGAAACTAAAATGAAATTCTGAAAGATTTAATGCTGAAACCCATTTTTTCCCGGCTTACATGTCTACTGTAAAGAAGGGTTCGTGCGGTGTGCTTTTTCTATAGATCTTTTGCCATTTCGAATTAGTTTGTGAATCACTTATATTGATTACCTGATTGATTTTGCTTCTGGTGATATATTTTTGGTGTACACTGATATCATGCAGAGCCTTAGCCATCGCTTCTACCGCATAATACACTCTGGAAGAGACCCCTACAGATATATATTGCCTCACCATCCGAATGAGATTCCAAATTGTGTCATTGTAGCTGAAATCTAGATGATCGTTATTATACAGTTTTTGTAAAGAAGCGACATAGCTCTGTGCATTGTGAACAAGAAACCCGAATCAACAGACTTTCGTTGTGTTCCCCCACTTGTATAGAATCCAAAAAAGATTCAATTCCCGGAACTTGCAAGGGAAAACTGACTGCCAAACACGAGGAAGTATGAAATCCGTTTGTCGTTTCATCAACAGAGGCATAATATGGGGGTACAATGATCAACCCCCCATCATGCATGGTCTCAAAATGAGCAAGAAAACAAAGGACGTCAACTGTGAAGGATCCGCACAAGACGACAACTTTAGAATACGCTTTTTTAAAAGTAGCAAACATTTTGTCTATAGACTCGTCCATGGTGTTCACTTTCAGAACGAATTCTGAACAAATTCCCTGTAAAGTTAAATGTCTCCTCAGTATCTGTAGTTCACTTTCTCCAGTGTCATCATCTGATGCAAAAATTCCAATCCACGTCCAGCCAAAGAGTTGTAATATTTTGGCCAGCGCTGAATAATAGATCTCATTGTGTAACAACCAGACCCCACAGGTCTTATTTTAGGTGCAGGATCACAGCTGCAGAAGTATGAGGAGGGGGTGCAATCCTACACCACAGTGAATTTACAGTCTTATGGTAATGAGTTAGGCAACAATTACTTAGCATGAAAAATAGATGAGGTTTTATTGTAGGGAGTAGGCCTTTTAGATTAGTGGGGTGAAGGATGACAACAATCAATGGGAGCAATCAAGTTATCCATATGCACAGTTCTATCAATATGCAAGCATTTGGAAATCACAGGCTGTGGTATGCTTACTGCTATTTTAGTTGATGGGAATGATAAGGAGAATGTTGGTGCCCTCCGGTGGATCTTTAGAGTAACTGCAGTCCGGATTGTAATAGTCCTTGCTGAAGCTGGGGATGAAGGAGGTAGTGGAGACCGAATTGCAGGGCTGGAGGGAAGTCGAAGCAGGATGTGCTGGTGGTTTTGGAGGGGCTCTGTCCGGCCCAATAAGAGAAAGAGGTTCGGTGCTGGGATACAGGAACTTGCCTGGCGTCTTCACACTTGCTCGAACGTCAGGCAAGTGTAACGTTTTAGTTGATAGGTTCGTAGAAAAAGGTTACAGGAGAAACGATTTGCACCTAATAAGGGATAAGGTTGGGAAGCTAGATAGAGGAGCCCTCATACATCAGGGTCCTAATAAGAAAACTGATACGTTCCCAATATCTTTTATAACAGATTACTCAGCACAACATCGTGATCTGGAAGCTATTATTAAAAAACACTGGGATATCTTAAAAAGAGACAAAACACTTAGCACCTTACTCTCCCCCCAACCTAGAATTATTTATAGAAGAGCTCCTACCTTAAGAGACAAAATATCGAAAAATGTGATCGATCCACCCAGACACACTGTCTCTTTTTTTGAGGGGGTTGGTTTTTACCCCTGTAAGAGATGTATAGGGTGTAGAGTCACAGGTCTTAGAACGAAAATTAATTCTTTCAAATCTAACACTACTAATAAAGAATATAAAATAAAACCATTTATCTCCTGCACCAGTCGCTATGTAACCTACCTCTTGGAGTGTCCCTGTGGTCTCCAATATGTCGGTCGAACCACTAGGGAACTCAAAAAAAGAATAGAGGAGCATGTTAATAACATTAAAAAGGGTTTCACAAAACACAGTCTCTCTAGACATTTTAAATTGGTCCATAACCAAGACCCTAGTGGTTTACAAATCTGTGGGATTGATAAAATTAAGAATCATTGGAGAGGCTCTCATCTCACTAGAGATATTTCTAGGAATGAGTCCAAATGGATTTTTCTTTTGGACACTATGGCACCCAGAGGACTCAATATAGATTTCGATCTTAATTGTTTTCTTTCGAATAAATAAGAAAGATTTATTAATATTCATTTTTTTTATTTATCCTTATATTTACTCATTGGATACTCTTCACATTTTGTTAGTTTTACAGCTTCACATATTTATTCCTCACTCACTTATTTATCTATTTAATATATTTTTTATCATTACATGATATGTTAAACATTATATATTGGTCACATGTGTTATGTTTACTATATATTATGTATACTTACTTCACGATCAATCGGTTATTAGTGTCCAGCTTAATTACACTTCACTTAAATATTGTTAGTTTTTGTTTCATACTACTTCTGTTCCAGCCTTCACTGTACACTACTATTACCACATATCAAATATCTCTTTCTGAGATCGATTATTCACACACACCCTTTACGATATAATCTGTACTTAAGTTTTATTTTGAATTAATTTCTTTCACAGCTCAGCCCTATTGTGTCCTTCCTTTCTGAATTGATTGTCCATCTCCACTCATTTTTTAGATCGGCCTTTATACCCCTAAATTGATATATAAGCGTCTATATATACTATTTGCTGATTGCAACCGTATTTTAATCTTTGTATCGGTTTTATATATTTTTATCGCATTATTATCTATACTATGAATTTATTTGATTGGATATGTGCTACTAAGATATTATATTTAATCATGTTCTCTGATACGAATTGTTATCTTTTGTGATATATGATCCGATTTGTTAAGTCTCTATTTATGTTCAAATTTTAATTGCTTAATGATGTGTCTGTTTTAATAATTCGTTTACGCTGCCTTCTAATTGACTCTCTTCTGATTGGGATCAATTAGCGGAGTGTATTTATACGATTCACCTCCTGTCTTTTGCATCCACCCCCCTTCTGAGGAAGTCACATGACGAAACGCGTCGAGGAGGGTAGATGCTAATTTATCAGACACGAGGTTTCACGCTTGTCTCTGTGTTGTTTTTAGCTGGCTGATATTTTTTTGCCTTGTAAGCCAATTTTTGGAATAAAAGTTTATGGCTTTATATATTGCGCAATGAAGGTTCTTTCTTTTTCTTTTATTCATCTCTAAAAAACTCTGTGGGACAAACGGCAAAGCACTTTTGCTATTCAGAAAAGATCGGACTCCTCATCCGTGAGTTACAGCCAACGGCTTAGAGGAGAAAATCAACTGTTTCAGCTGCCGGGACTCGCAGAGAATACGTCTGCACTAAAGCCCAATCACGGTACCACTCATTAAAAGCTTTCTACCAACTTCCCTTTGGTGAGTACCCACCCGAGAGGGACAGCTCGGATCAATTCGAAGTACACTGCTATTTTTGCACATTCGTATATTTGCACACGGAATTTACCGTTCACCTGCCACTCGAGAGGGACAGTTTGGATCAATTTCAAGCACACTGCTATTTTTGCACATTTGTATATTTGCACACGGAATCCACCGTTCACCTGGATTTTTTCTATGTATTGGACACTGTTTTGATGTTTTAAACATTTTTCGTTTATATAATTCATTGGAATGAATTTTATTGGTTCTGATTATTTATTGCATTATAGTTAGAGTGGGTTTATATATTCTTAGAAAGCTAGTCCTGTTTCATACATATATGTTAGGTTTTAGACTGGCCTCGCCAGAAGTACTTATAGCTCACTTTTTTGTTCATATATTTACCCTTAGCGCTTTGTTTCTTTCGATCATACTAGGATTCATCCCTTCTCAGAGCAGCTTTGGGTTTATTTTATTTCTTCACACTTATTCTTAATTTATTAACTTAATCCATCTAATTTCTTATTCCAAATACCACCTCTCTCCAGAAGCGCAGATTTACCTGTTTGCAAGTGTAACGTTCAGCCTTAACTAGGGAGTGGGGGAGGAGTCCTGGAACGAGGAACAGGTGAGTGATCGAGTGCACCTGTTACACATTGCTTTGAACAGTGCGGAAAACATGAGGATAAACCTGTCTGTCGCTTAATGTGTAATCCGTGGAGCCGTAGCTGACCTGAGAGGTGGAGAAGAAACATCATTTAAAGAGTTTAGCCCAAGGAAAGAGTTCACCGTGAGCCACAGCAGGCCTATGGCAATGGTGGTAGAGGACAAAAGGCTGCTTTTCCCCACTAGCCATACCCTTTCCCCCATCATTTGTAGAAATACATCTCATATTAGCTTATTTATACATTTTCAAAATATTCTAAGCCAGATTAGGATGGAGATGATGTTCTGTGTATTTTAGCAGAGGGAGGTCCCATTCGACGCTAAAGGTTGCTGGAGTGATGGACGACCGACCCAACACACCAAAACGTCTATTTCAATTATCAATGGCCAGAAACTGGGTTTTCATATCTTTCAAGGGCCAGCTCTGTAAAAAATTGATATTTCAGTTTTAGGTAGATGTTGGAGAGTTGAAGGACAACTGGGCTTTGGTTAAGGTTGTCCTTTAAAGCGGTGGTTCTCAACCTGTATAACCTCAGCACCTGCATTTGTCCTTGGTCATTAAGTCGTGACCCAAATCGCACTGCGATGGAACGCACGGCATTGAGGTACTGCATGCTCCAGTGCAAGCGATCAAACTGTGGGCGGGAGGTGTGTTTGGGGGGTGCCATTCAAAGGAATGGCAACTCAATGCACCTACCGCACCAGAACGAACAGTAGGTGCAATTGCATGGTAGTTTGTGATTAAAACACTGACAGACACACACAACCACAGACACAATTTAAAACACTCACAGACATTCACAGTCCCAACATTTTTTTACGGGTTCGGTGTGGGCTGCTGTGCTGTGACGGAGCTCCATCCATATGTACATTGCTTATACAGCTCCCTTGCGTGCCCTGTAGTGGTGCCGGGAGCCAGAATGTAACGTCACTCCGGTCGCACAAGGGAGCTGTAAGCAATGCATGTATGGATGGAGCTCACTCGCGGCCATACCCCCAGCCCAACTCAAGATGACACTCGGCACCGGGCAACATATTTTGAATGGCAACCCTGGGGACGAGAACTGACACCTAGTGCACTGGAAGGCATTCGGCGACCC